GGGCATACGTGTGTGTGAGCGGCTTATCGATTCGCCGACTAGCCGCGGGCGCTTTTCTTCATGTGCGCCGTATCTGTAAACGTGTGTGTCGTACCTGCGTTCCGGGAAAGCAATTAAACCGTTCAAAGAAGGCGAGACTTTTCTGGAAGGCTGGAGAATGTTCCCGAAAGGAGGCAAGGGAGTATAAAAAAAATTGACTGTTGCAGAAGTAAGAATAGAAATAAATTGACCGTTCCAGAAGTGAGGAGTAGAAATAAATTGACCGTTGTAGAAGCGAAAGAGTAGAAATAAATTGACTGTTGCAGAGGTGAATCAAGAGATAAATTGAAAGTGATAGAAGTGAAATAGATAGAACAGTGAATAGTAACAGTAGTGAAAAATAATAGAATAATTACCGAAGTTTAGTAATAATTTAACAGTGTTACAGTGTTCAATAGTAATTAGTATAAATAAATAGTTTTCTTCTTAAAATTTAATTTGTTAAACCCACGAACATTACACTATTACCTCCTTATCGTACAAGATGGTCCTTATCTTCACTGAACGTCAAGAGCGCTGCAAATTATTAATGCTGCGGGATCATTTAAATGAAGAACTGTATTTTTTACGAGGTTATCCTAGGCGCGTCGTGGCTTAGTCAGCACCAGGTGCACATTGACTTCGTACGAAAATGCGTACATCTCGGGACGACGAAACGCACCATAGTCTTTTGGGAGCAGCAAGGTATGCCCAAGCGCTCTCTACCCCCGATGGAAGAGATCGACCATGATTTTTCGAGCACCAGCGCGCCGACTTTCTACCGCTTGCTCCAGAACTTCCGGGGAGTTTTCGAAGAAGTCCCTCAGTCATCCTCCAGTCGAAGCGTACGCCATACGATTCACCTAAAGGAAAAGCGCCCCTTCCGCATCGCCCCGTTTCGATGCAGTGAGGAAAGGAAGAAGGACTTCATACACCAGGTCGAGGAGATGTTGGCCCAGGACATTATAGAGCCGAGCGGTTCCGACTACTGCTCCCCGATTGTGACGGTTAAAAAGAATGATGACAGCCATCGTTTCTGCGTCGACTACCGACGCCTCAACAGCATCACAATTGACGAACCAGCTCCCTTGCCCATAATCCACGGGACGCTGAGGGATCTCGGTACGGTCACCTTTTCTTCCTCAGACCTCCGCTCCGGGTACTGGCAGGTCCCCCTACAAGAATCCTCCCGAAAATACGCCGCCCTCGCCACACCTGACGGGTTGGTGTACCAATTTAAAGTAATGTCGTTCGGGTTAAAGAATGCACCGACAACCTTCCAGCGATATAATAATATATTCCACCGGTGCCGAGAAGCATCTCGAACACCTTCGACAAGTATTTGAGAGATTACAGCTTCACGACCTACGGTGTGCTCCGGAAAAGTGCCGCTTCGGGAAAGCCGAGTTGGTATACTTCGGCCATACCGTCACGTCAGCTGGAAATAGGCCCCTTCCCTTCCACATAGAACAAATACAAAGCGCACCGCCACCCGCCAACCGCAAACAAGTGCGAAAGTTCCTGGGACGCCAGTCAGGCCGGTACGGCTGCGGTCCTGTACCAAGTAGAACTCAACGGAAGGAAACAAGTCGTCTCATACTTCAGTGCTCGGTTCTCACCAACAGAGAGCCGGTATCATATAAAAGTCGTCTCATACTCCAGTGCTCGGTTCTCTACAACAGAGAGCCGGTATCATATATATGAACTGGAGTGTCTAGCCGTCGTGTGGGCTATGAAGATGTACCGTCCATATCTAGAGGATCGGCTGTTTACGCTCAGGACAGATAACAAGTGCTTGCTAATGCGTTGGCCTCTCCTTCTGCAAGAATTTAATTTCAATGTTGAACATTGCCCCGGCCGCGAGAGCCATTTGCCGGATTTTCCTGGCAGGCCTGACGAAGTCCGCGAAGTCCAACAAGCCGACCCCGAACACCAAACCCTCCTCCAACGATGGCAAGAGAGCACCGAGAATGGGGCAGATAACGAAGCAGACGAGCAGTTCATCTGAAACTACAGCCTCGCTATCGATGAGGGCATATTTAATCGTCATACGTCAAAAGTCCTTTTGGCCGTAAAAATTCTTCGTGCTATGGACATTACGGCATCACCGCCCGTAGGTCAATAAATACCCAAGACTCAATTCTACTCTACCCCAGCTCCATTGACAATTTTCGTCGTCTATCCTTTTTCCTGGACGAATCCAAATCCAATTTTCGACAAACCAGCTACAACAAGACCGTGATCATGTAGTCATCCGTGGTGTCTGCGAAGGCATCCCAACAGAGGACATCGAGTCCGAACTTAGCCACAAAGGCTTTATTATCAAAGACATCCATCGTATGTCAAAAGGTAATAAAATCTGGCCCCTTGTTTCCGTCCGTCTTCAAATTCAAAGACAATTTTCGATCTTGGTAAACTCTGTGGTCTCAACATCAAAATTGAGCCGAAAAAAGCTACCAGCGAAGTTCCTCAATGTCGCCGCATTATAAAATTCTTCCATACAGTAAACTAGTGCCACGCAGCCTGGGTCTGCTTCTTCTGTGGTCATAACCACATAACTGTCCACTTGTGCCAACTGCAAAAGGAACCACCGCGCCACCTACTGCGGCTGCCACAAAGTTACCAAAAAGACCTCCCCTTCACCCCCCAATAAAATCATCACTCCTGTTGGTTCTCAACGTACAAGAACAACCCCCCATTCTCCGGTCACCACCTTGCCAGTACCCCTCGAATGTCCTGGGTCAAGGCAGTAAGAACAAGCTGTAGTTGCAATCCCAAGTTTGGAACGAAAATTTCAAGTTATTGTCCAAGCCATGGTCGCCAACATTGTCTCCGCCTTACAACATATCACCCATGTCTAACACCGCCTAGCCAGACAATCTTCGCATTGTTACCTGGAATGCGCAAAGCATTAGAGGTAAATTGACTGAACTCGAGCACTCGAGGATAAGTCAATCGGCGTTGCTTGCATCACCGAAACACACCTGCCCAAAAATTCAAGCTTTTCGTCCTGAACTTCTCATCCTACAGAAGGGACCGTGAAAGCGGCAGTACCGGCAGTGTCGCCATTCTGGTTAGGTATTCTCTAAAGCACAGGCCTATCTCTTTGGCCACTAACTCATTAGAAACAGTCGGCATCGAAGTTTCGCTAACTTCCGGCCCTCCTACTCCCCCCAGGCGCTCCGACCATCTTTGCAGGCTATTTCAACGATAAACACGTCTCTTGGGGCTGTCGACAGACGAATAGTAAAGGCGTCTTCCTTCGTGCCAAAATTCTTGACTTCAACCTCACAGTTGAAGCACCCACTGATCCCACGTTCCTCCCCGCCCCCCACAATCAATTCCCTGACATTCTTGGCATTTTCGTCAGGAAAAATGTTACACTTACCTCAGATTTTATCTTCATTGACGGACCATCGGACCATCCCCCAGCCCTAATTGAAGTCGGCCGCCCAATCAACAACCCCAAACACAACCACGTCAATAGATTGGCTACACTTCCGTTATACCCTCGATACAATCAAGCACACTCCAATTCGCACAATAGCGAACTTGAAGAAGCTGTGAATGTCCTGTCAAACGAGATTTCCAGCGCAATCGAGCTGTCCAATACCTCCTGCCAAACGTCCACCAAAGACAGAACCCTCCCAGCATACATTCCTGACCTACTTAAGAGGAAAAACAAGGCCCGACGTCTGTGGAATAAACACCGCACCCCCGCCCACCGTGCAGAAGTAGACGTCCTTCAACGAGAACTAAAAACTCGTCTCACCGAATTCCGCAGCGCATCCTTCGGCGATTATATCGCTCAGGCAGAAACACACCCCCGAAGCACTTGGAAAGTGATCCGTTCTCTTCGTAACAGAGCCCCTCCTCATCTTCCGCCACTAAAACAGAACGGCTCCACTTATTCTTCAGACGAAGAAAAAGTTGCAATCTTCGCAGCCTATGCCTCCAGTGCTCCCCACTACCTAGTCTAGTGGATGTTGCCAACTTTAATGAGCGTATCAAGCTGTTCCCATAAATTTCGAATTCAGACAGACTACACCCAGTAAGATCTTCCTTACTATTTGTTCTCATCACCGCACTGTGCAATATCACTAACGCTACCACCACTTCTCCTTGGTCTGGAAAGAAGCCACTGTCATCTGCCTCCCCAAAAAAGGGAACCCCTCAGCCCTCCCTCAAGCTACAGGCCCATCAGCCTACTCAGTTCGTTGAGCAAAGTAGTGGAATCCATTCTTCTCGATCGGCTCTTAGACTACGCGGAGCAAAACAACCTTCTCCCCGATTTTCAACATGGTTTCCGCAGGTAACACGGCATCGGACACCAACTTTTTCGAATTACCGAGCACATCTCCGATAACAAGCGGCGTCACACTTCCATGCTACTTCTTGACGTCCAACAAGCTTTCGGCCGAGTCTGGCACCAAGGCGTTATTTCCAAACTCATCGCCCTGAACATCCCACATTTTCTAATTGGAGTTATCAGGTCATTCCTCACAGACAGAATCCTTCGGGACCGCGTTGGTTCTGCTCTCTTTGCCAGTAAACCCGTCACAGTCGGTGTCCCACAAGTCTCCAAACTATCCCCTATTCTGTTTAACCTGTTTTGCGCGAACATGCCCTCCCTCACTTCAATTCTTACTGCGCTGTACGCTGACGATATAGCCATTATAAACACTTCAAATACCATTCTGCAATGCACAGCAAGAATCAATAAGTTTCTGCCCCGGCTCCTAAACTAGTCCCGGAAATGGAAACATTCTATTAACGAGACTAAATCGGAGGCAATCTAGCAGCTCCGTCACATACCTACGCGTCGTCTTCGACAGATGCCTAAACTGGCAACACCATGTTACAGCGAACCGTAACAAGACTCTGGATGCATTCATCGCACTTAAACCTTTCTTCCGCAATAACACCATCTCCCAACAGACCAAAATTCGTGCGTTTAACGCAATTATTAGGAGCATTTTCTCCTATGCAATTCCCGTCTGGGGCTGCGCCTTTCCCCACCGCCTGAAACCTTTGCAAGGCACATACATGCGAATTCTTCGCTCCGCTTTAGACCACCCCTGGTTCGTCAGAAACATACAAATTCTGATCGAAACCGGTTTACCTTCTCTCCCTGATGCTACAATCACATTCGCGGCAAATCTCCGTGACTCAGTGTCAGGCCACGCAAACCCCACCATCTCGGCACTCTCCAACTTCGCACCGAAACCAAACGAACGTTTCCGAAGGCCCTATCAGCTTCTACAATGAGCCACTCTCTTTCGCTCACTTCTAGATCCTAGCTTCGCTTTTTAGCGCGAGTGTCAATCCAGCACTTCAGAGGTGAACCACCTACTTTGGTTTCCTCCTCAATACTCCCTCCTACCCACACTCTTAACCCATTTCCCATCTCAACCCTATCCCCAATCCGCTGCCTTCCAATTTATTCCCAGGGATGAGCAACCCACAGGGTTTTTCTCCCTGCTCGCGGAGGGGTTTTAGTCGGAGAATCTGAAAGTACTCGATTCCATGGAAGCTAAACGTTTCACCTATTCCCTCCCCGAAGAAAAAACACTCAAAAACACATAAAAAATGTACAGACGACTCTGTACGTTACACGTCCATTTAAAAAAGAACTTCGGTGTAACTATTTCTATATTTTGTTTATTAGATATTAACCGTTAAAAGATTGGAATGAAGTACTTAGAAACTGCTAAACTATTTATTATATTTACAAAGGATTTAAAATGAACAAAGTTAACGTCTACAATGATACTGATAGAATGCTGTTTGTACAACTTAAAACTAACTTAAATACATAAACAGACCTCCTGAAGGGAGAGAGGGTGAACAGGCTGTACCAAGCTAGTAATAATTAAGCAGTACAGATATTTTGACCCAAGGGGTCCGACAAAGGTACCTGAAGGGCAATAAACTGAACAAAATAGGACTTCACAATTGCCTGAAACATGTTGTTAACTTGGATGAAATATTTTTGTGAATTCCCACATAACTATAGAATTAAAATATATGTATATACAGTCAGGACTGAACATGCCGCCCACCTTGAACGACTATGTTTAATAAGAAAAAAAAGCAAATCTAAATACGAAAAAAAAAATGGTAAAAATAATTAAATGAATAACATAAAGTGTTAATATTCTAAATTCTTATTCACACTTATTTGAGAACCGGCAGCACGCACACTTTTTTCACTGTTCTCGTAAAGGATCCAGTCGCGGTTTTTACGGTCACTACTCGAATGACATTATCTTTACCGGGATGCACTGCCTCTACACGCCCCAATTTCCAATGCCGTGGTGGTTGATGATCTTCCTTTAAAAGGACCAAGGTTCCTACCTTTATTGTATTTTTGGAATCAGGACAAGTGTTCCATTTGCTGCGGACGTGTAGTTCGTTTAGGTACTCCTTGTACCATCGTGCCCAGAAATGTTGCTTAAGTTTTTGTATGTGCTTCCAAGTAGAAAGCTGATTCGTTGGCGTGTTCGTGAAATCATTTTCAGGCAAGTTAGAATTTGATTCACCAAGGAGAAAATGATTTGGAGTAAGAGGTTGAAAATCGTTAGGATCTGAGGATAAGGGGGTCAAAGGGCGAGAATTTAATATTGCTTCTATTTCCACTACATAGGTATATAATTGCTCATATGTAAATAAAGTTTCACCTACTACGCGGACAAAATGGTGTTTAAAAGATCTAACTGCAGCCTCCCATAACCCACCAAAGTGAGGAGAGCCAGGAGGAGAAAAATGCCAATTAATGCCCTTTGCACCAAGCTCACTTATTATTTTATTATTGTGGTCTTTTGACTGAAAAAGTTCGTAAAGCTCTTTCAGCTGATTTCTTACCCCTACAAAATTAGTTGCATTGTCTGTATAAATATTTGTGCAACAACCCCTTCTTGCTACAAAGCGTTTTATTGCAGAAAGACATGATTCTGATGATAGATTACCAACCAGTTCTAAATGTACAGCTTTAGTTAAAAAACATACAAAAACTGCTACGTACACCTTTAGTCTCTTAAGGTTTCTAAATTCTTTTTCTTTAATGAAAAATGGTCCACAATAGTCAAGGCCTACGTTTTGAAAGGGTTTAGTGGCATTGAATCTACTTTGAGGTAAATCGGCCATGATATAATTATTGTCTAAGGAAGGCTTTGTTCTAAAACAAATTAAACATTTACGAATTATGTGTCGCGTAGTATTTTTCCCATCAATCGGCCAATAAGTTTGCCTTACTGAATTCAATGTAGCTAATGTTCCCGCATGCATTTGTTTAATGTGCTCTCCATAAATAATCAAACGCGTAATGTGATGTGATCGTGGTAATAAAATTGGATGTTTTCTATGAAATGCTATATTAGCGTACCTTAACCGACCCCCAACTCGCAAAATTCCCTTACTGTCTAAAAATGGATTAAGGTTATTTATATTGCTTTTACTGTTAATGCGTCCCTTTTTTAGGTCCTGTATTTCCTTTGCGAAAGTTTCGCTCTGTAATAAAATAATTAGTCTATCGTGTGATTCTTTTAATTCCTGAGTTGAAGGTACACCTAACAATTTTATTGATTTGCGACAATTTGATATAAAACGTAATATATATGTGAAAACTCTCTGTAATTTGGAAAAGGATGAAAACCGAAGAAGTAGATTGGACCAGCTAGTGTTAATTATTAGCGCAGTAGTTCGTCGTTCTGGAATGTCTGTTTTTGAGAAAGTTATGTTCCGTGGCCAGAGGTGCTCCTCTTGTAAAAGCCACTCAGGACCTTGAGCCCAAATTTTATTGTTTAAAAATTCAGATGGTAACTGACCGCGTGAAATGTAATCCGCAGGGTTATCTTCGGAAGGAACGTGTGACCAATCTTTAGGGTTGGAGTGAGTTTGAATTTCTGCGACTCGATTACTAACGAAAGTTTTTAATTTGTGTGGTTCGGTATTTATCCAATGCAAAGTCACTGTGGAATCCGACCAAAATTTGACAGAATTTAATTTAAGTTTTAAAGCAATTTTGGTGTTTTTAAATAAATTTGTTAATAGTACTGCTGCACATAGCTCGAGACGTGGCAGTGTAGTTGATTTTAATGGTGCAACTCTTGATTTTGCACATATCAACCGTGATGTAACATTAGCTGAAGCGTCTACTGATCTTAAATATATGCACGCTCCATAAGCTTTCACGCTGGCATCGCAAAAGCCATGAAGTTGAATATTAATATAATTATTAGTCAAATAACGAGGAATTTTAAAATTGTTTAAAAGATAAAGCTGTTGTCGGTATTGCAACCATGATTTATGTATTGCTTGCGGAACAGATTCGTCCCATTCAAGTTTGCATAGCCATAATTCCTGCATAATCAACTTAGCTAAAATAATTACTGGCCCTAATAATCCTAACGGGTCAAAGACTTGTGAGATTTGTGACAAAATTGTACGTTTATTAATATTATTACCAGAAGACTGACTACTAGGAACGTTATACTTAATATTATCATCATTATGATCCCAATATACACCTAATGTTTTCTTGCTTGCAGCTGAATCTAGACAAAAATTATTTTCGTTAGAGATATATTGGAGACCTTCTAATAACGATGGTTCGTTTGAAGACCATTTACGTAGATTAAATCCACCTAACTGACATAATTGTATTAAGTCATTTCGTAGGTTACAAGCATCTTCTAAAGTAGAAGTACCCGTTAAAAGATCATCTACATAGCAATCGTTTGCTAAAACTAAAGAAGCTGAAGGAAATTTTGTGCTTTCATCGACTGCTAGTTGTTTGAGACACCGAACCGCTAAGAAGGGGGCAGATGCGGTACCATATGNAGCTGAATCTAGACAAAAATTATTTTCGTTAGAGATATATTGGAGACCTTCTAATAACGATGGTTCGTTTGAAGACCATTTACGTAGATTAAACCCACCTAACTGACATAATTGTATTAAGTCATTTCGTAGTTTATAAGCATCTTCTAAAGTAGAAGTACCCGTTAAAAGATCATCTACATAGCAATCGTTTGCTAAAACTAAAGAAGCTGAAGGAAATTTTGTGCTTTCATCGACTGCTAGTTGTTTGAGACACCGAACCGCTAAGAAGGGGGCAGATGCGGTACCATATGTTACAGTATTTAATTTAAATGTTTGAACTGGTTCGTCAGGACTATTGCGCCATAAAATTTTTTGATAATTTGTATCATTTTCGTGAACATTGATTTGTCGGAACATTTTTTCAATATCTGCTGTTAATACGTACTTATGTGTACGAAATCTGACAATTAATGAAAAAACATCATCTTGGATTGTTGGACCAACCATGAGCGTATCGTTGAGGGAAAGTCCCGTGTCCGATTTTAATGAGCCGTCAAAAACCACTCTGACTTTAGTTGTAGTACTAGTTTCCTTGACTACAGCATGATGTGGTAAATGTTTGTACAACTTAAAACTAACTTAAATACATAAACAGACCTCCTGACTAGTTTCCTTGACTACAGCATGATGTGGTAAATAGTAACCTGAATTTTTGTTAGCTGAATGGGTTATATTAGACATGTGACCTAAACTTATATATTCATTCATGAATTCGCAATATTCATGACGTAAGTTAGAATTATGTGTTAATCTTTTCTCTAAGGAATAAAAACGTTTTAGAGCAGAGTTGTAAGTATTGCCTAATTTATTTTGATTTGCGTTGAACGGCAGCCGAACTACATAACGTCCTGAGTCATCACGGCTTAAAGAATTTTGAAAATGTGTCTCGCATGCTATTTCTTCTTTAGATAAATGTTTTGTGGCAGTACAATCCTCTAATTTCCAAAATTTTTCGAGTTGTGTCTCGAGAGTTAAGGCGGAGTGGCAATGTATAGAATTAGAGTGATTTGTATTGACCTTACCTGATACTAACCAGCCTAATCTAGTTTTCTGTAAAACGGTAGTATCATTAGCTAACCTTATTTGACCTACACATAATAATTTAAAAAATATATATTCACCCAACAGCATATCAATATCTGCTGGTTTGTGAAATTCTGGATCGGCTAGACGTAAATTTTTTGGTAAATCCAAACTATTGCGGTTAACGACACGTGAAGGTAGTTTAGCAGTTATTGTAGGTAAAACAAAAAATGTTTGTTGCTCTGCAAAAGTGTTATTCTTATTTTTTATTGTTGTTTTAACGCTATACCGAATAATTTGTTGAGATTGACCTAGTCCAGAAGCGGGTAAATAAATTTGCTGTTTTTGTAGATTTAATGTATTTGCTAACCTTTCGGTCATAAAGTTGGACTGCGAACCACCATCCAACAAAACCCTACACTCGTGTTCTTTATTTTGCTTGTCCAATACGATAATACGTGCTGTAGACAGTAAGATTTCGTTGCATTGAATGGTAGTGAATGCTGACGTAGCAGGCTCGTTACTAATATTAGGCTGTATAGAGCTGATGTCGTTTTGTCTTGTATTTTTATCGAAATGAAGTAATGTATTGTGTCTACCGTGACATTTTTTACAAGAACTTGACTTACATAAGGATGTTTTGTGACTTGATTTTAGACAATTTATACACAGTTGTGAATTTTTAGCAGCTTCCAACCGTTGTTGAGGAGTTAATTTTAGAAAATTGTCACAATTGTGTATAAAGTGACCTTGTGAACAAATTGAACATTTTAAATTTGATTGGAAAGTATAGGAATGAGTATCACGTTTATTTTGTTGAAACGAGGCTCTTTTTTGATGCAATTGATTAAACTTGGATGCATTATTTATATTTTTAAATAAAGGTACTGGTTGGGAATCTCTAGATATTTTATTTAAAAAGGAGACAAAGTCGGAAAAGGTTGGCATAACATTATCTTCAAGTGATCGTTCCCACATTATTCGGGATTGTTTGTCTAATTTCGCAGAAATTATGTAAATTAACATCTCATGCCAATCTACCGGTTGATTTAATGCCTTCAATGCATTGATATGCATTTCTGCTCTTTCTGCTAGAGATCTTAACGCTATCGCTGAATCTTTTGTAACCTCAGGTAGCTCAAAAAGGGCTTGTAAATGACTATGAATAATTTTGCGGGGGTTATTGAACCTTTTTTGCAAAAGGTTCCAAGCAACAAGATAGTTCTCTTCAGAAGCATTTAATGACTCAATTACTGCTGAAGCATCACCTATTAAGTATGATTTAAGTAAATGAAATTTGTGAATAGCCGAAATAGCATTACTATCGTGGACCAGCGATTTAAAGGTATCATGAAAACCATGCCATTCTAGAAAGTCCCCGTTAAATTGTTTAATGTTAATTTTTGGTAAAATAGTTTGCGATACATTATGACTGGTGGTTTGAAACGTTTCACTACTAGATGATCCATTATTTAAACTTAACTTTTCTATTTGATTTGATATTAAGTCTGCACATACGTAATAAACATTTTCTATTTCCTCCCTATCTTTATCGTACTCTACGTTATCATCTAAACATTCTATTTGGGATTGTAAATCACACCAATTATTGTAGTATTCCTCTAATTTAAGTTTACGAAATTCTAATACAGACAATGTGAAATTTTCTTGTGAATTTAAAAAGGTTTGAAGGCGTGTAATTTGACCTTTCGCAACACCACGTTGTTTAGTTAGAGATTTTAACGATTCCGTAGTCATATTAGAAATGTAAATAAAATCTTCGAAATTAGAAAAAATAGAAGCAATATACGTAATAAGATAATGTAGAAAGGAATAAGGGAAAGTGAATCAAAATTCTTACTTGTGAAATTCCTGAAGGTTGTCGGGACAAATGGTGGTTAAAAACTTGATTCGCCTGAAGTTGCCCACTCGAAGACTGTTCAATTGTTGACTGAAGGGATGAAATTGATGATGGTAGTTGCTGATTGTGTCCACTGTTCCGATGATGATCCAGAAAGAGATACCAAGCGGCTGCGTTGTGGATTCACTGAAGGTAGACGTTGAGTTTCCTTTGTAATGTGCACTTTTTTCCGTCGGCTGCTGTTGTCCAAAACGGCGTTTTTGCGATTATTTTGTTACTTGAAGTATAATAACGGATATCCGGCTCGAAGGACCAATAAAAAATGTACAGACGACTCTGTACGTTACACGTCCATTTAAAAAAGAACTTCGGTGTAACTATTTCTATAATTTGTTTTTTGGATATTAACCGTTATAAGATTGGAATGAAAAATTTAGAAACTGCTAAACTATTTATTATATTTACAAAGGATTAAAATGAACAAAGTTAACGTCTACAAAGATACTGAAAGAATGCTCTTTGTACAACTTAAAACTAACTTAAATACATAAACAGACCTCCTGAAGGGAGAGAGGGTGAACAGGCTGTACCAAGCTAGTAATAATTAAGCAGTACAGATATTTTGACCCAAGGGGTCCGACAAAAGTACCTGAAGGGCAATAAACTGAACAAAATAGTACTTCACAATTGCCTGAAACATGTTGTTAACTTGGGTGAAATATTTTTGTGAATTCCCACATAACTATAGAATTAACATATATGTATATACAGTCAGGACTGAACAGTAGTGTTAAGAGGAATTCTACAAGAAATTGACGTGCAAGATGTTGAAGAAAACCTGCGGTATAAGGGAATCTTGTTCAACACAGCGACGAGAATGCGCAAGGACAAAGAAATTGTATACCCCATAATTCTTATAGATACAGAGAAGAGCGACGAGGGCAAAAAGGAATTCGAAGTCAAAAAAGTAATGGGGCTAAATATCAAAGTGGAACCCAAAAAGAAGTCTAAGTGCAAATCCCAGTGCTTCAGGTGCCAGCTTTTTGGACATGTCAAGTTCCTATGCACCGAGGCGTGGCGATGTGCTTTCTGTGCCGGCGAACATCTATCAAGTGAGTGCTCCGAACCTAGAGGGAAAGGATTCCTAGCAAACTCCGTCAAATGCTCCGGGAACCACCCTTCCTTCTCAAAGTTGTGAGAAAAGCATCCGCAAACAATCAAATCCAAAAAACAAGAGGTCCTAAAGGATAGCTTAGAAACCTCTAAGACTAGACAGCAAAAAATTTTCGCGAACGCTGTAAAAAATCAGCCAACATTAATCTTACAGAAGATGTAGTAGAAAAAGTTGTGGAAGAAATCCTACTAAAGCTGCTTCCCAAATTATCACAACCCATAAATGGATAAGAAGGGAAAACACAGCGATGGGACATTTGTACGTGGAACGCCAATGATATTGCACAACACAAACTAGAACTACAACAATTCTTGTTAGAAAACGATATATCGGTTCTCTTACTCACGGAGACACATCTTAAAAAAGGTGACTTCATTCAACTAAATGGTTACAAGATCATAAGAAAGCACAGGGAAGGTCGGCCAGGAGGAGGCGCAGCAGTGACAATAAACAGCAAGTATTGCAAAAGATTTGTAGCCGTATATAACAAGCCTAACAACAAAACAGAAGAAAAAGACTTCCAAGGCCTGTTTATTTTCCCCAATACAATTATAGGAGGCGAACCAAATGCTAAACATATATTCTGGGGAAGCAGAATAATGAACCCTGAAGGAAAGTCACTTTTTGTATTCCAACAAAAAACACAAGGAGCAAAGGCATACGGCCCAGAAGACGCCATCTCCATCCCATCAAATGGTAACTTAGGAGACGCAATAGGAAAAACAGAGACAAAGTTCGAACTGTCGTCAGGCTACTTCCCAGTACTACCGACACTCTAAGTCAATACATTAGGAAGAAAAAACGGTCACTAAAACCAATTGAGATAATTTCAATTTTCTTAGTGAAAAAGTTGGCAATCCGGTATGCCTAGAAGATCACAGAGAAGGAAGCTAAATCAATAACTACAGAAATTCAGAACCTTATCGAAAAGTGCTCAACCAAAACACAAATCAATCATAAGAACAGACTAGGTTTAAATTACAGTGAGAAAACCTAATACGAGGGAAAAACCAAGCGAGGAAAACATGGATACGGTACAGAAGAGATGCAGACCGGAAACTTTTCACACAACTACAACGCGAGGTAAAAGAAATGCTAAAAACAAGATCCCAGACAAAGTGACAGAGCGCAATTGAAGAATGCAATGAAAAAGACTATAAAATCTGGAAACTAGCGTCCAAAGCGGGTAGAAGGAAATTCCCAAATTCACCCTTGTTGGTAGAAAATAAACACGTATACGAGGACACCCACAAAGCGGAAAAACAGCCTCCTTTATAGAACAACTTTTCACGAACAACGGCAACAGCTTTAAAAACCTCACCAAAAAGAAAATGAAAACCATACAAACAGTCAAAGAAGCGCAAGTAGAAAACTATCCACAACTAACAACTGCAAAAGTCCTATATCGAAATAAAACCTTAAAAAGTAGAAAGAGCCCAGCGATTGACAAAATTAGTAATCTAGCACCTAAAATGCTTCACATTTAGGCAGTAAACAAAATAACAAACCAGTTCAACTCAACGATCGCCAAGTCATACTTCCCCTCTACTTGGAAACAAGCTGTAATCATATCGATTCCGAAGGCCGAAAAAGACCCAAGACTACTGCAAAATCAAAGACCTATTAACCTCCTCTGTGGTCTAGCCAAAGTTCTTGAGACAATCGTTAAGGATGAAATCCAAATAGTTGCAGAAGAAAACCAACTAACGGAAACCCAACAAGTTGCAAACTTCATTAACATTGCTGAGGAGGATGAGAAAAAAAGACAAGTAATATAAGTCCTGTTAGATATAGAAAAAGCATACGATAAGGTTTGGAGACTAGGACTCCGCTACAAAATAGCCATATACAACTTCCCACGGTGGATACTAAGATTTTTAATACATTGGCTTAATTCAAGAGGCTTCAGGGTTAAAGTTAAAAACAGCCTCTCGTCTAAAAAATGGACCAGAGAAGGCCTTCCACAGGGGTCCCCGTTATCACCGATTTTGTTTAACCTGTTCGTAGCTCACCTGCCTAAGTTAACTAAGCCACTGACTACAGCCACGCTAATTACCAACCCGTTTAGAAGCCTGGAGACTGACATCGAATTGTCAGACTCCGAAGCCGAAAGTTCGATGTCGGTTTTACAAAATCGGATGCCGAAAGCCAGCACCCAAAGGCCGGAGCCGAAGAAGTCCAGGGTTCCACCCATCGCCATCCGAGAAAAGGCAAAGTGGTACAAATCTGCCAGCAGCTTGTCAGCCAAAAGCTGAATTCCACAAAAGTGAGGAACGTCGCTGAGGGGATCAGCATCCAACCAGAGAATATCGAGGACTACAGAGGTATCAAACGAACCCTAAACGAACATAAACTACAATAAATTACAATACCACACGTATACGTTACAGGAAGAAAAGCCCCTGAAAGTGGTAATACAAGGAATGCGGACAGACATAACCACGGACGACATAACCGAGGACCTAAAGAGGCCAGGTTTCCACCCTCGAAACGTTGTACGGCTGACGAGGCCCAAAACCAAGGTCCACACCACACACCGCTGCTTCTAGTTATCCTATCGAAAGACAGCGCGTCGAAGAAAATTTACAAGATAAAGTCTGTATGTGTTCTTCGTGTTACAGTTGAAGCCCCTCGCCAGAAGTCTACCGTCGGCCAGTGATACCGATGCCAGCGGTTCGGCCACGCCCAGCATCACTGCAAGGCGACCCCCCGCTGTGTCAAGTGCGGAGAGAACCACTTCACGAAAGAGTGCGAAAAGGCAAGGGAAGTCCCAGCCAGGTGTGCAAACTGCGATGGTGCCCATCCAGCGAGCCACCGAAGTTTCCCCGACTTCCGACGAAGCCGACGTCGATGACAACGAAGACGACTGCTCTACCAACCAACGCCGTCCGCCAGGGGTTGACTTTCGCCAGGGCTTCTACGCCGAAGGCGATGCCAACGAACATTCAACGACCATTGACGACAGCATCCTTCAGATGTACAATTACTTGCTCTGTACATGTTTTCTTCCGGAACGCCAATGGTATGCGGGAGAAATGTTTCCAGCTTCTAGAGCTGCTAGAAATTCTTTCAATCGATGTTGTTCTCCTAAGCCAAACTCACCTAAGGGCAGGTATAAATGATAAGCTACCCATCTACGCATTATATCGCACCGACCGAGGGAACAGACCAAGTGGAGGTACAGCCGTCTACGTTAAGCTCTCGCTCAAACACTATCCCCTTACCGTGGCAACTCCAAAACATCTGGAAACCACAGCCGTAGAAGTCGAGACTTCTAGAGGCATCCTACCCCTGATAGCAGTCTATAGATCATCGAGACCGAACCTGTCGGAAGAGCAACTAGACTCCGGCAGGGGACTTCAACGCCAAGCACCCAACTTGAAATGGTCGAAAGAGTAACACCAGCGGCAAGGTACTGTACGACCTTTCACAGGCAAGGCATGTAATAGTAGTGGGCCCGGAGGGCCCTACTCATCACCCGCCGAACCACACTCACCGACCAGACGTTTTGGATATCGCCATCCTCGAGGACGTCTCCTAGGACTTCAGGCTGTCCATAGGTGAGGAACGAAACCAGACTGTATACGAGAGGAAGTCCACCTGTTGGCCCGCATTTACCGACCATCTTCTCGAAGGTTTCGCGAAGATCAAGATAATACTGACTAGACAGGATATCGATGAAGCAGCTAACACGCTAACAACAGCTGTACTGTCGTTTCTCGACCGAACGACAAAGTTTCAAACAACGGCTAGGGTTCAGAATCGAATTCCCACGACAGTTTCCGGACTGATCAGGGATCCGGTCCCGACGTCATTGCCAGCACACCCGAAACCCGGACGACGGTGGCAGGTGAGGCTTAGTAATCTAGATCAGATTCCAGGTACTCTGTGGAAGTTTGCACGCAATTTAAAGAATGGACCTCGCAGCATCCCGCCAATACACAGTGAACCCGGAGTGGTGTATACTCCGATAGCAAGGGCGGAAGCGTTCACGGATTACCTAGAGAACGCTTTCCGACCCAACGACAACCACATAGACGACGAACACATCGACCACGTGGACCGTAACGTTCTACGTCTACTGACGATAGCACACGTTGGTTTCGTCAAACTAACCAACCGGAAGGAAAAAGTAAAGGAGCTACTTGTCGCCACCAACGCCAGGAAAGCTATCGGACCCGACGGGATACCAGCGGGAGCCCTAAAACCTCTACCGGTAAAAGCCATAATGTCAATCGTTAATATCACTAGTGCGATTCTACGTCTAAGGTACTTTCCACTGCAATGGAAAACTGCAGACGTAGTTGTGTTTCAGAAACCAGGGAAGTAGCCAACTTTTCCCCAGAACTACTGACCGATTAGTCTCCTCCCAGTCCTGGGGAAAATCGCAGAACGAGTACCGTTAGCCAGATTACGCGACGAGGTCTCTCAATTGAACTCGCTGCCGGACGAACAGTCTGACTTCCGTGGCCAAACATTCGATCGTGCAGCAAGTGCCATTAGTAGGGATGAGCGTTATGTAACGTACCTAAGTAGTTTCAGAAACTGCGTATTTGGTAAATAATCGTATAACCTGTTTCGACTGTATACAAGTGGTTACGGTTATAGTTATTTTCATATCGGTTACTTTAAGTAAGCAGTTGAGTATCTTCGGTTTTAAAGCTGTAAATAGTTCACTATAATAGACGTAGGTAACCATGGGTAATAATAACGTGATGCCTTGTATTATACCCATTTTGTTATTCGAAGGACACGTATTTCTTGTGTCATATACAGTCTTCATTCTTCGGAGTTGTGATTTGTGTGTGATCTCGTTGTTGATATATATTAAAAAGTGACTGCAGATAAAGAAATAAAATTAAGTGCGAATTATAAATAGTAGCAGTTGAAACTTAATAGTAATACAAATTAGTTTTCGTTAGTTTTCTTTATTTAACTTACAATAATGTTACGAAGTAATACAAGTGTGTTGTGGAAGGTTTTTCAAAAATTGGACAAATCCGATAAAAAGGCAAAATGCAATGCGTGTTTAGATATTTTTAGTTTTAAAGTCAACAGCTAATTTAAAAACTTATCTAAAAAGTAAGCACCCTGATGCTTTTAAAAGGTTGTCTACCGCTCAAGCTCAATTAAAAGACAAGGTACAAAAACAAGTTCCTGACAATAGCGAATATTTCGCTAAACATGAAAATCAAAGCGATAAAAATGAATCTCAACCTGGATCTTCAAATTCTGTTGTAACAGGTACGTTACAGTTTCAAGCTCAACGGCCTATCCAGCTTTGCCTAGATCGATACGCAATGTCTAAAAAAATTTCCCAAGACATAAAAAGAAAAATAGGTGCAGATCTTTCAGATTTATTTATAGATAGTTACTGTTTCGTTAGTAGAGGAACGGGCATTCAAAAAATTTGCAAAATGGATACCAGGATATGAGCTACCATCCTGAAAAACGGTATCAAATATTATGATACCGAAAATTTATGAAGCGACGGTACAAAGAAATAAAAACGAGATGCTGGGCGTGGAAAATATTTGTTTTACTACTGATCTGTGGACATCAAGAATAAATGATTCATACATTGCCGTGACTGGACATTACATTGATGAGGCACTTGAATTAAAAACATTTTTACTGAAATGTGCTGAATTTCAGAACTCGCATAATAGTGGTAATATTCAAGCGGCGTTAATTAACATTACTGAAGAGTGGAATGTAAGAACAAAAGTCAACTTCGTCATTAGCGACAACACTGCAAACGTTAAAAAAGCAATAGCCGATATTGGCTGGAAACATTTCGGGTGCTATAGACACACTCTTAATCTTATTGTTCAGGATAGTCTTTGGCTCATCCAAGTGAACCTAGACAAGGTTAAGACAATAGTACGCCATTTTAAAACTAGCATTGTTGCACTTCAAAAACTGCTAAAATCGCAGACAACCGACAACCCGGATGAAGTCCCTAAACGGTTAATACAGGATGTTCCGACAAGATGGAATTCTACATTTCAAATGCTTAAACGTATCGTAGATTTGGAAAACCATGTATGTAGCACGATTGCTGTACTGAAAAAAGACTAATATGTAATGAGGAATGGACAATGTTTACAGAACTTTGTCAAGTGTTAAAGCCTTTTGATGAGGCAACTAAATCAATGAGTGGCGAAAAATACATAACAGCCAGTACAGTAATTGTAATGACCCGCTGCTTAAAACAATCCTGCGACCAATTGCTGTTGGAAGGTTTTTCATCTACTACAATTAACGTTATTAAAAAGTTGAAATCCGGTTGGGAAACCCGTCTGGGTGACGTAGAAAAAAGTGATACTCTTTCGGTATGCACTTTTTTAGATCAAAACAAGTGCGTTTTCCGACGATCACCAAGCTTCAAAAACAAAGAAGAAAGTGGAGGAATTGCTAATGAAAATCATAAGTCACAATGAACCGCAGCAACCAACTTCGACAATTTCAACACAACCAGAAAGAGATAAATTTTCGCATGGTCGATTTTGAATACCATTGTTGGTACACAGCAGGCAGTTGGCACCCCAATTTTACGAGCAATTAAAGAAGTAGATTCGTACTTAAAAAACGACATGTTATCGGTATTGATTGAAAACGGACAATTTAACTGTCCCTTAAAGTGGTGGCGTCTTAACCGTCACATTTATCCAAATCTTGCCATATTGTTGCGACAATATGGTAATATTGTAGCAACGTCCGTTCGGTATGAACGAATCTTCAGCAAAACTGGACAATAAACGATCGACGAACGAGATTGAAAACACGTAAAGTGACACAATTAACGTACCTCAATGTAAATTTAGATCCAAATAGATTCAAATTATGAATAGTGAACTATTGTATACGTATATATATTGAACTTTTAATTGAATTGAATATAAAAAATATAAAAATTAACAAAAACGAGATAGTGTAAATTTCATTAAATCATATAGCTACATAAAAGTAACTTTTAATGTAAATATGAAGCGTACCTATCAGCAATAAACAAAAAAAATGTTAATAATATTTGAATAGGTCAAACATACAAAGAAAAACCATTTTAAAAAATTATTTATTGAGGCCTCTCATATTCTTAGTCATGAAAGAAAGTTTATGAATTTTAGGTCAGATCTTGACAACAACTTGGACAACTATTACGATATTTAAAATTACAATTGTGTAGCAAAGTTGTTGAAGTTTACGAGGGTACGATGTTTATTTTTAACTTCGGAAATTTATAAAACAGTTACCAAATGCAAAACTATCTTTCTGTAAAAATGTAAAACAGATGGGTTTGTTTGGTAGGTAATGCCATAAATCAACCTTCTGAGAATTTTGACCGTTCCGTCATGAAATGACCTGTATTGCAACGATACGGCAGCGACGAAAGATGTAGGACAATTTAACAGTTTCTAAGTTAAACTATAGTACAAATCTATAAATGTATCTAGTTACAAAAATACGCAGTTATGAAACAAGTTACGCTTTCTCAAGAAACTAGTTACGTTACGTTACGCCGAAAACATGTTACGACCCCACTACCTATTAGTGGTCGAGTACGCTACATCCTGCATCCAACAGGGGCGATTTTTCTCGACGTTTCGGAGGCCTTTGAGAAGGTATGACACGACAGTGTAATTTATAAACACATTTGTGCAGTTATGCACCCAGCTTTCGTCGAAACTATAGCGTCGTTCCTCCGGAATAGCAGTTTCACAGTGAAATTGGGGGGACGTCCGCTCTAGTTATCGGACCATGGAGGCCGGAACTCCACAAGTTCGCCGCTATCGCCACTTCTGTACTTCCTCTACACAGCGGATACACCGACGTCTAGGGACACTACGCTTGTCCTGTATGCCGACGCACCGCAGTTTAGCTAAGTTGATTGTTCCCCACGTTGTAACTATTCGTATTCAGGCAGCTGTCGACCAATTAGAGGACTGATGCAGGAAATGGCGAATAGCGGTTAAACCGGAAAAGCATCAAAACATTTTTCGGCCGCCCGATCCCGTTGAAAACCGACGTCAAGTAATAATAACAATATGGAAAAGTCACTACTGGGTTATTAACGCATCGGTAGTGATGTCTCTCTTGATCCCGCTAATGAACCGAAGGAAGGAAACATGAAAGATTTTTTAGTTCCTGTAAGTTATAAAAGTATCTTTACATTGAGTTGATTTTTAATATGTTTTTTTTCCAGATTACTTACATTCATGTATCTTTTTTTCTTAGTGTTGAAAATATTCAAATTCAAATGCAATTCGCGCATTTATTACGTCACCATAATCGTACTATCGATATTGATTTATTACTTCGATGTATTATCGATTGTACATAGTATTAACCTTACTTCGGGTGTTTACTTGTCATCTTATAGATAGTATAGTAGAAGTCAACACAGATACCTCATGCAATTATATTGATATATAATTAAGGATTATATATCCAATTTAATAAAGTTAATCTTAGTGTAATTAATTTACGTTTTAGTGTTTACGCAAAAGTCTTCCGATAACCTCTATATCCAACAGGCTATGGGCCCAGGCTTATACAAATAACTGCGAGTAATTGGACGTTATATCGAAAAGACATTTTGAGGTTAAGTAATTAATTAGCATGTGTTGTGATATATAAAATCCGGTGATACACGATGTCACAAATAAGTACTGTGAACTCTACGAGGATAGAAATGCTATCCAAAGATAACTACGACACATGGTGTTTACAAGCTGAAGCATTATTGGTCAAAAATGACACGTGGGGCTATGTTAGTGGTCAAATCCCTAAACCACCGACGCCGGCAGGTGACGAAGCTGAGAAAGCTAAAATGTAAACAGCACTAGATGTGTGGACGAATGGAGATAGAAAAGCTAAAGCTGATTTAATATTATCAATCAGTCCATCAAAGCTCAAACAAATACGTGGATGTGAAACGCTACAAGCAGTTTGGAAAAAGCTCGAATCTATCTTTGCATCCACTGGTCCAGCTCGTAAGGCAAGTCTGCTTAAACAGCTCATACTTCAAAAATTAGTTGAGGGTGACGATGTACGAGAACATATAAAGAAATTTGGTGATGTTGTCGACAAGCTAGAAGCCATGGATCTAGTCATTTCAAAAGATTTGTTAAGTATTATGCTTCTATATAGTCTCCCGGAATCATATGAAAATTTTCGATGTGCTGTTGAAACTCAAGACGAACTGCTTGATTGTGAAAAATTAAAAGTGAAAATACTTGAAGAACCTGAAGCTCGTAAACAAGCTGTTAAAGAACCTGTATCTGGTGTATTGGTTGTAACCAAAAATAACACCCAAAAGTTTGGAAATAATAAAAATTATCAACAAAATAATTATGATAATGGTGAAAATAAGAAATTTCCATTTCGACGTAGCAAGTGTCGAAAATTAGACCATCGTGCAGCTGATTGCCGTTCAAAACGTCAAGTACGAAATAATAGAACTGATAAAAATTCATTTTATGCAATGTCCAATAAAACCGAAGCTGTGATGAGGTTGAAGCAGTAGATCTACAAAGTAGCTGGTGTCTCGATAGCGGCTGTACATCACATCTATGTCGTGATAAAAATAATTTTGACAAATTGACTGCAACTGATCGTGGAAGGTTGAATTTAGCATCCAATTCATCAACTGAAGTAAAAGCTAAAGGTACTGTCCAAATACAAGCTTCCGTAGGAGCGGATACAAGGTCAGTAAATCTTGAAAACGCTTTATACGTTCCTGATTTGCGTACTAACCTACTTTCTGTTGCAAAAATCACTGACAAAAATTGTGAAGTCGTTTTTAAACGCAATATTGCGATAGTTAGAGACAAACATGGCGATGTCCGACTAATAGCCGATAGAATAGGCGATCTTTATTATCTTCGACAATCAAGGGAATCAGTCCATGTGGCAGAGTCTTCAACTGAAATGCAGATGTGGCATGAACGTTTGGGTCATCTCAATTTCAATGATCTAAGGCAAATGGTCAATAAAAACGTGGCAACGGGCATTAAGTTCAAAATAGGTGAACGTCAATCCTGTAAAATCTGCTTGAAAGGCAAATTATCAACGTTACCGTTTCCTGAAAGGGCTACGAAATGTAAGAGACCACTAAAGACAGTTCACTCGGATATCTGCGGTCCCATGCGGACAGAATCAAATGGACGAGGAAAGTATTTTGTAACTTTCATTGATGATTACTCACGTTGGTGTGAGGTATATATTCTCAAAACTAAAAGTGGCGTTTTTCAGGCATTTCGAAGTTATCAAAATCTTGTTGAAAAACAAACAGAATGTCAAATCAAGGCCCTACAGTTCGATAATGGCAAGGAGTACTGTTCCAATATATTTGCTGGGTATCTCCGATCACACGGAATTAAGAGAAGATTCTCTGCACCGTATACACCACAACAAAATGGTGTGAATGAAAGAAAGAATAGGACGTTAGTAGAAATGGCTAGATGCATGGTACTACAATCAAGTTTACCATCTTCGTTTTGGGCTGAAGCTATATTATGGCACGCCAAAGTGGTATTTAATAGCAAGAATTTTATTATGTAAGATTAAAAAGAATTTCTTTTTTTAAAATGAAGCAGAAAATTTTTTTTATTTATTTTATTGTCATGGCATAATAAAAATGAATTAAATTTATGTCTTGACATAAAATTAATTCAAAACGCATAAGAAGGAATGGGAGTATCGTTCAATTTTAAAGAAATTCGATACTAAAATAAAAATTCGTTGAATAAAATTTATGTCGGTACATAATAATAATTGACCTTGTAAAATTTATGTTGACGCATAATAAGAATTAAATACATTAAAATTTTGTCTCGACATAGTTGTACTGGCAAGAATAATAATTTTTTTATAGCAAAATAATGAATGTGACTTTTAATTATGTGTGCACATAATAACAATTGATCGAATTAAAATTTTATCATGCAATCATAAAAATTCATTTTTCAAATCATACTACCATTTTTCCGATTAAATAGCCGGTCAATTATCTGGTAAATTAGCCGATAAAGTGGCTACAAACAAATCATGTTGGTAATTTTCCATTACTAACATCTAATGATAACTAAGTAATTAAATAATTAAATAAAATATAATTGGTTATGATACGTAAATTATTATTTTATTCTTTCAATCATAAGAAATATAATTAGTTATGATACGTCATACGGTTACTAAGAGACTAGAGTGGCTCCGAGTGCATAGTTACAGCCCTGATGATTGTATGATGCACATGTGAGTTCACCCGCGTTTTCTCTTATAACCTTCACGAACACAAAATTATCACAGGAACCAAATTGATTGTAAGTAGTGATCAAATACTATCAAATTTGTTTTATTTCTTTGTGANATTTATTATATTAACTTTAGATGTCTGAGGAGCGTGTCATAGCTAGTCGTTTATTGCAAGCAGCAGAAAATGTTTCACATGAAGAAACAGCAGAGGAAAAAAATTTTACTTCATTGGTAAGAGATACACGCAGATGCTTTAGAAGAAATGAAGTCGCTTCTAGCCCTAGCAGAGGTCGGAAAAGGAAAAGAACTTTTAAAAAGAAAGTAGTTTTGATGAAACTAGCTCATGCTGATTTTTTTCCGTCAAATTCCGAGCTCAAATTCTTAAAACAAAGAGGTCTAGGTATGTAAAATAGTTTGTAATGTTTCTCAAGAAAATTTTTCATTTTACCAAATAAAATAAATCGTCTTACTCTATTCAGGAGAACCTGATACATGTCTCGAAATAGGAAGAGAAGAGTCCTCAGTGGAAATAATGGAAAACATAATTTCATTATTCAATTCTCATATCCAAAATTTATTACGTATGTGCGGATTTAAGTTGGCGAAGTCTGACAGATCTAAACGAATACATCGTATTGGAGATTTTCAAGATGGAGCTGACTTGGAATCAAAAATTCTGCAAAGCAAAATCATAATATTGCCTGAAAAAGATTTTCCGTGTGATTTACCAATTGTTGAAGAACAAGATCCAGTATCAAGTCAAGCTTCTAGTAGAAATGATCCACAACCTTCCACGAGTAGAGCTCTTTCAACTACAAGAGGTAGCGATTCTGATGATTTTCAACCACAACAAACATCTTTTAGACCTCATCGTAATGTACGTGCACGAGAAAATTATGTGTCAAGAATTCAATCACGAAGAATTGAAGAGAGCGAAAGTGAGGAGCTGGACGAAGATGACAATGAAATAAGTATCATCGAAGAATCTCATGCGAACAGTTATCATGTACTCCTACCATCACTTCCAAAAGATGCAGAAACAGCAACTATTGAAGTATCGAGAAATAATTGTGTTACTGATCTTCTAAACATTTACAAAGATGAAGAAATATTGGATAAAAAATTGAATGTTTCATTTTTGGGCGAAGTAGGTATCGATGGCGGCGGTCTTACTAAAGAATTATTTAATATTTTCTTCGAACAATCTGAAAATATATTGTTGCAAGGTGAAGATTGTCTCGTTCCATATTTACCATTAAACAAAAGAAACGAGCAAGACAACTTTATATATTTTGGACGAATTCTTCAGCACATGTTACTTTTAACTCAAACAATTCCTAGTAAATTATCGAGAATTACTTTGATCCTTATTGCAAATCCTGTAGCAGAAATTAAACCTGATATAATATTGAAAGAATTAAATCTTTATGTTAATCCCTATTTACGGAAAATTTTGAGAAAAGGTCAAAAAGCTTTTCGTCTCTTACGGATGTTGAAACAGAATTTATACAAGACTTTTTTCAAACAAACAAATTCTTAGCCAGGCCTAATGCTCAGACTTTCCTGGAACAACTACAAATCATTGGAACTGAAATTCTTGTCGAAATACCTAGAAGATTAATTGACAAAATTCGCCAAGGAGTATCACCACAAAACTATCCACATTTCCGGAATAATTGTGATTTCAACATCCTTACGGACATGCAGTCTGTTAGTGTTACAAAGGTTCTTAATTGCCTAGAAACAGAACTGAATCTTACAAATGAAGAGAATGAAGTCTTACATTATTTTAGAATGTATGTCAATTGTCTTGATAAAGATAAATTGGCAAAATTAGTANAGCAGTTCCAACAGGATCAATCAGATTTAAATTTACTCTAACTCTATCTCTTTGGACATAAACTCCAGCTGCTTTCAGATATCCCTGCATCATCTATAATAATACATGAGAATAATAACGAGTTATTTGGTTTATTATCCAGCTATCTGATGGATCTAGCTAGAATCCAATAGATCTAACTAGAATCTGTTAATATTGGAGTTTTTAACATTACCGTCTGTCCGGCATTTGGATGCTTTTGATGAATTTCCAAAATTTTAGATTGTAATTCTTCGTCAGAAATTTGATTATATCGTCTACGTATGGGTAAATTTAACTTGAGTAATTTGTTATAAATTGTTTTTTTCGAACAACCTAAGTTTTTGGCTATGTTAACCGCAGAAAACCCTTCATTATACATTAATATTAATTGATCGTCATTTATTTGGACTGCAGGACGACCTTTGCCTAAAATTCGAAAAATAATAATGAATTTCAACGAATCAAATCAATTATGCAAATCTATTATGACTCCTTAAGTGATATTTAATTATTATATTATATACCCACATTGATAATAATACGCGTTGATATTAGTGATGTAATTAACTATATAATATTAATACGTGAAGAATTATTTAACACACTTTATAAAACATACATTACTTTTAGATTTTAACACTAATCAATAGAAGGCTCAATATCAATGCGTCCCTAATGAGCATACACGTTATCAACGGTTCTATTGGTGTGATTTGGAAAATGAAACTCTTAGGAAAAATGGGAATCGACTATTTCGGCCCAATCATGCTCAAATCTGTTGAGACCCAATGACCTGAAACCACAATAGGCAAATGCTTTCGTTGCCAAAAATTTGGACATGCACAAAGCAGATGCAGTGCCACTCCCCAACGCTATGTAAAATATGCAAAAGGTCATTTTATCCACGAATGTACTCGCGATAAAACCGAACAGGTAATATGCTGCAATCGCAAAGGGAACCACACTTCATCTTATAAAGGTTGCCCTTCATGGCCACAACTTAAAAAACCAGTAAGGCCAACCACCTAAATATTCGAAAACTTCCAAAGAATGTGCAAAGAAATGTACTCAATGGCACAAATGTTAGGAAGACTATTTGAAACCAACGTTTTGAATCAAAATCTAAAGCAACTAAATCTCAATATAGCCTACTGGAACGCTTCAAGTATTCGCAACAAAAAGCACGAATTAATAAACTTTCTTCAGGACCAAACGATAGACATAATGCTCTTAGGAGAAATATGGTTAAATAACAGGCACGACCTGCGAATTGCAAACTATACAATTTACAGAACCCACGGCCCCCAAGGGTGAACAACAATACTGATCAAACGGCATATTAAACATTATGTAAAGCTTCCCAAAGCATCCAAAAACGAAAACACAATATTAGTAGTTAACATAGAGAAAACAAAATTAAATGTTGTCTCAGCATATTGTCCTACTAAAATAAACATTGTAAAGGATGACATACACCAAATGCTCCCTGAAAATGAAACAACGATTCTCATGGGCGATCTAAATGCCAAATCTGTAACATGGAGTTGGCACTTCAAAAATACATTGAAGAAGAAGACGTAATTCTACACAGCCCAACATCGCCTACTCACTCCAGTACAGGAAGACCCGAAATACTAGACATAGCATTAACAAGAAACATCATTTCAACTTAAAAGTAACTCAAGATCTCAGTTCAGATCACAATCCGATTACAGCAACAACACCTACCAACTCCGACTCAACCAAAGAATTTCAACAGAAAGTAATAAATTCGAACAAATTTGCCAATCATTTCGAAACACACACGAGCAAAATTAAATACCTTCACACCTCTGAAGACATCAATCAAGAAAATAAAACCCTAACAGCAGAAATTACATCTGCATTATCTTCCAGCACGAAAACAATTAAACTAGAAGGTAAAATGCCCATAATAGTACCTTGGGAAATAAGGGAGCTTATACACGAGAAGCGGAAAGCGAGAAATAGAGTCGAAAGGACACGGCATCCTAATGATATCCAAAATTCAACTAAACTGAACAACAAACTTCGTGGAACACTGCATAAATATCACTAAGAACAATGGCTGTCCAAACTTGCTTCACTAAATAACGATCCCAGGGGCATCTAGAAACTAGCAAAACTCTATACTCCTGACGAGACAATATACCTCCCTTACAAGGCGTGAGAGGCATGGGTTATACAAATACAGAAAAATACGAGATATTGATTGACAGCATAGAAAACCAGTACAATACCAACGACAATCTGAATGGTGAAGATATAGACGCACAAGTAAACCGCAGCGCCAGAATATTCAGAAGCATCGCAGCTGAACCCATTGCGCCATCTGACCCAGAAGAGTTAAATGCTGTTATAAACCGATTAAAAACGAAAAAGGCTCCAGGTACAGACGGTATATCAAACACCGCAACAAAGAAATTGTTCAAGAAAGGTAGAATTAAACTACTATCAATCATAAACGCATGTCTAAGACTAAATTACTTCCCAACATCATGGAAAACGGCAGTTATAATCACTATACCAACGCCTGGAAAAAAACCATACGCATCTGTGTAACCATCGACCCATAAGCCTCTTACCGGTGTTTGCCAAGATTTTAAAGCGTATATTCCTAATTCGTCTACAGAATCACATCGAAGATATGCAACTCCTTTCTTCAGAGCAGTTTGGCTTCCGAAAGCGCAGTCCACAACACAGCAATCACTGCGTGTAATTGACCATATCCATAACAATCGCAGCTACAGAGACACTTCGGTTTATAGACATTGCCAGTGCATTCGAGCATAATGATCTGATACATAAGCTAGAAAAAGCTAAAATCCCAAAAGGAGTAATCAAAATTATCCAATCCTTCCTAGATAAAAAGTTCTTTATGATAAAAGTTACTTCTACCTACTCCACGCGTAGACAAATAAGAGCAGGTGTTCCTCAAGGTTCGGTATTAAGCTCTACCCTGTACAACTTATACACACATGACTTCCCTAAAAATGATCTTTCTGAAATATTTTTTTTTGTGGATGACACGGCGCTGGTTTCACACAGCCGTAATCCAAATCTTAGTCTTACCAAACTACAAAACAGTCTTACCAATATTATACAATGGCTGGATACTTAGAAAACAGCCACTAACGAGGAAAAAACTAATATGATTGTGTTTTCAAAAAGGCGAAGACTACCAGACGATCAACTTCAAATAAAAAACATTCCAATTCCATGGTTAAACAAAGCAAAATATTTGGGATTACTAATAGATAGAAACTTAACCTAGTCTCCAAATATCGAAAACAAGAAAAAGTTAGGATTAGCAGCAATTAATTCCTTGTATCCAGTACTGAAGAGCCCTACACTTACCACAACAATTAAAAGAACACTGTACCTAACCATAATAAAGCCGGCCATCACTTACGACATCAATACAAGAGGTAGTTGTGATAGAACCCACCTCCAAAAGATACAAGTTATACAGGACGAAGTCTTTCGCATCATCGTAAATTCCCCTTGGTGTATTACAAATAAACAATTACAATTTCGATCTTTTTGGATCTCATCAGCGCGTCGCAGGCAGCTTCGACAGAACACAGACCAACTTTTACCTGCTGTCTTAACAGTGCGTTTCAGTTCTGAAAGAGATCGAAATCGCGATCCGCGTCTGGCAGTTTCGACAGAATACAGACCACTTCGAATTATTTTATTCGATTAAGCTAACGTGCCTATCACGTTGAGGTTGGCTACGCCAGGATTCGTTTTCAGCAAGTAGATATCCACACAAGTGGACCTTGTTGAAAAATACGTAATCCTAAAATGTAGCATCGTGCTACAGATGGCGTTCACTGTGCCGTTTGTAGTATTTTCATATGACAAATGTTTAGAATCTCTAAAGTTGAATGAACAATTAATATCCGAAAATATTTACAAAATTCGAGATCAGTTAAACTCGCAATCAAAAGCAATTAATTCTATTGAAATTTCTACAGATCTACTTAACTTAGCCGTCACAATTCAAGAATTATTATCTACTATAAAACAACAGATTGAAAAAATCACAATACGATTATTATTTTCCAAATTACGAAAACTACCTCCAAGCTTACTTGAAAACACAGACGTATTGCAATCATTAAATACTTAACAACAACATGTTAAAAACAATCTAAATTTTTCTTTCATATTAGTCACAAATTTTTATAAATTTGTTGATTTATGTACAGTCAAAATATTTGCTAACGCTGACACTATTGATCAACAAAGAAACATACACGTTATTCAAAATTCATCCCGTGCCCATGAAATCAAAAATAAACAACAATATTTTAATTCCAGTAAAACAATACATGGCACTCGATTATGATAAGGGACTATATATTCCAATTCATTTTAGAGGGAAACGTGGACAAACTACAATTGGAACTCCTTCAAATGCATCATCTGAACCTTGACGAACTTAATCTCAATAGACACAGACTCGATACTGTACTACACGATGCAGTCATTTTCCTTTCTTTGTTTTGTGGGCCTTTGGCAACCGGTGCTACACGAAGTGGATGATCCACAAAAATATTTACAAACAAAGGGACTTTACAATAAGTGTGATATCATTCTTCACAATAATCGAACGAAAGGCGCGGTAGGCACGACAGATAAAATGGTGAAGCAATACTCTGCTCGTAGGATTTACAATGATTGGCCAATGGTAATTTTTGGACAATTGTTTCAAATTGTTGACCTAAATGCTTTTA